GATTTTTTAAAATTGTGATTCAGAATCTGCCACTGAAGCTTTACGAGCGTTTGGTTCCTTTAAAGATATTCGAAGCGGTAAAAGACCAATGAGTTGCTACTCTCTAAGGCGAATGATTAAAATTTTTAAGGAAACTGGATCTCTGGAAGCAAAACCTGGGAGTGGAAGACCATCGACACGCAAGTCAGTGGCTGTTACGGTTTTGCAGAATGCTGAAGCTATTGAAACGTTATCCACGTATGAAGAAGTAAGTGCTAGACAAGTTTCTCGACAAACGGGGATTTCGTATGAAACAGTTTGGAGAGAACACACATTTAGAAATTTTCTATAAAAATACCCTAACAAAATTCAAAGTTTTCACGAGTTGGAAGTCAGCGATTTTGAGAAGCGTCAAGAATTCGCTGCATGGGTTTTCCGGCAAATTGATATTGATGAAAACTGGCTGTCAAATGTTCTAAGAACAGATAATGCTCATTTTTATCTAAAGGGAGAATTTAACATTCAAAACTGCCTCATTTGGGCAACAGAAAACCCTAGGATTTTTACAGAAAAACCACTTCATCAGACCAGAGTTACAGTTTTGTGTGGTCTCACTTCTTCTTTTATTATTGATCCATTTTTCTTTGAAAAAATCAATGGAATAACTTTTAAAACCGTTTTTGTAACTGGTGAACGTTATGTTCAACTTTTGAGAGAAAAGGTTATTCCCGTATTGCAGGACAGACAAGCACTAAGCGAAATAACATTCATGCAAGATGGAGGACCTCCTCATATCTTCCGCGGTGCCAAACAATTGCTGAAGGATACGTTCGGTGAAAATCGTGGGATAAGTCGCCACTTTATATACCAGTGGCCTCCGTTATATCCCCAGACTTGACGCCTTACAATTTCGGTTATGGGGGTAGATTAAGTCGCGTTTTTATCGATGCCGGCCTACCACATTGGCCATGTTGAAGGCTTCTATCAGATGGCACTTTTTATAAATTTCAACTATTTAATTGTGACCATTCTGTCATCTATCGTCTGCAGGCGGTGTTTGAGAATGAAGGGCGCCACATTGAGCAAGGATTGTGACCTAATACAAGAGAGAAGGCAGTTACCTCATGTGTTATATTTTGCAGCTCTTTGTTTTGGGTTAGGGGAATAATGAATGCTGTCCTCACATCTTGACTCTTTTTTTTTCAATGAACAGTAATTTTTTGTTTGTCATTTGCCCACATCTTATATTATGTCGTGCAGGCCAAAGTGTTATAACTTCTCGAATAACACTGGTACACACAATTTTACCCCTTATGTTTAGTTTATCACTTTTCGCTCATTAGAAGAAATAGCATAAGGAATATTCTCCGTACCCATCCAACTTTAGAAATTTTGTGGAAAAAATAAAACAAAATGATTTTACTACCACGTTTTTCAAAGCAAAAGGTCGATTTAAAAATGATTTTTTTAGGGGATACATTTTCAAAATTATGTACAGTATAATAAACAATGATAACATTTGACAAACGCATAGGATATTTGGAATGAAGTACAACAAATAGATTTTGTCACCCCCCCTCTATATTTCATTTTTGGATCATGACAAATATCCAGTTAAATAGTCAAGTGTCGCCAATCAGTCAAGAAACTACACATTCCTTATAGCAAGAAATCCTATTAATAGTGCCATCATAATTTTTGGTACTATATTAACATTTCAAAAATCGTGTATTGATATCAGCAGTGTTTTTCAAACATTCAATCTATTTCACAAAACTCCATCTAAAATATAAATATTTTTTGCTACATGTTTTAATTTGCATATAGCTATTTTACATATCTCAGCTTGTATTTAAAAATCGTCAACTAATTCTACTAACTTTTGGCGAAATGGTGTTTTATTAATTTATCATTTGATATTATTAGGGTTCTTTCCTGGTATTCAAAAAGGAAAAATACGTGTCGACCAGTTTTTTTTTTTTTAATTTATCAAACAATTTAGCCGCTGAATCACAAATTCTGGTAGAGCGCCATCTAGCGAATAAAATTGTAACTAAATTCAATTTCGAAATTTTCATTATTTGCCATAAAAAATCCCATTGCATCCTGAACACAATGGTGTTTACTGCATTGCTCTAGCGCAAATATTCGCGGAGTTATTAATTTTTAAAGTTGTGCGGGACTTTTGGATCACCCTGTACTTTTACATCTTAGGATATTTCAAGGCTTGATTTCTACGTTACAATATAATGATTGTTATTATAGAGTAAATTTTTAAGTTTACACATTCTCACATATTAAGTAGGATTAAATATTCATTTAAAAGTTCGGAACATATATATATACTAGCGGATGTGTACCCGGCTTCGCCCGGCTTTTATCCGAGTGAAAGTTTGCCTAACGAATATTATATATTATGAAGTATAATAAACAATGCTAAAGATTAGTTTTAATTATTAATCAAGATTGTGTGTGAATATGTGAGAAAGATGTAATATCGTTGTTGTTTTCTTGGCCGACTGTTTTACATATGGTGTTATCTTAAAATTGCTTGTTTTGAATATTTTTTTAGATTGAGTTGAATGAATTGCTGAATTTTTTTTTTTTGTGTTTATATATAAATAAAATTAACTCTGTTGAATATTTTTGTATTTTATCGATAACAGCAAAGTTATGTATTTTAAAGTTAGGAAAAATATTTTGATGTTAAGCAAAACCTGCTCCATCTCGTTTTACATAAATGTTGAAAATTTGGTCGAAATTGATGCATTGTAACGAAAGTTTTTAGCGAACACCACTTATGAAATTTCCATTTTATTAATATAGATATAATATAAATGAGTTTTAAAAATTGTTAAAAAAAATGCATCGGCCGGGAATCGAACCCTGGCCGCCCGCGTGGCAGGCGAGCATTCTACCACTGAACCACCGATGCTTTTAAAAAATCAAATTCATTTATCGTCGCGACCAGTGCTGCGCCCTAGCGGTAAAAGACTGGAACTAACGCTTTTTGGTTTTTTATTTAAAAAAAAAGCACATTAACTTTTTTAGTTTTTTGAATAGCCTATATGTTAAACGAAATCTTCAGCTACCTACATGCGAAATTCCATAATGATTGAGTCAGTAGATTTTGCGTGATGCGATAACAAACGTCGATTTCGCATTTCATTTTTATATATATAAGGAAGGATATGTAAGTTATATTAAAATATTATTTTATTTAAAATTATTTCTTAGATTTAAATATTCTGTTTAAATCGATCGCCAGAGCTCACACTTTCCCTATAAAAACTAATTGTTGTTGTTTCCCGATGGCCGGCTCAAACCTTTGTACTTTATGTAAATAAGCTTTTTATTTTTTTTTGTTCTTACGCCTTAAGCCAGGCATTATCTTTCTCAAATTATGTTATATATATACCTTAAGCTCAATTAAAGCAATTTCAAATCTTATAATTTTTATTTATATAATATATATATCTACAAAGGTATTACATTCTTATATTTAGTTTTTCTTCATATGAAAGAATTGAGGTCCCTCTCTTCCTGCCTTTTACACTCTTCAAAAGCTGGACATTTGACAGAAAGAGGTCGTCTATCCTGCACATCTTTACTGCAGAAACACTGGGAGTTCTCTGCCACATCAATTCTTCAAATGTTGTTATATTTATAAATTCAAATACCATTTACGTTGAATTTTGTAAATATTCATTTTTAGACAATGCGTTACTTTTCACAAAAATTATCAAATTTTATCTCTACAGACCTAACTACAATGATAAAAGTTGTTGAAGAAAATGTCTTGGGTCATTTTATAATTATATGTATGCACCTCTACAGACCTATGAATATATGTCCAAAGGTTCACTAAACACCCCTAAGCTGTCTTCCATAGTAAATACAGGGTATATAACAAAACCAATCCAATATATAATAGTAGAGCGGTCTGGAGATTAATTTGGCGAAACCGCTGAGATGGTTCACCACTAATGAGCCAAGCCCTCTCATTCAATAACTTTTTATCATTGTAGTAAGGTCTGTAGAGGTAATATTTGATGATATGGGTGAAAATAAACATATTGCCTGTATTGTTACGATGTACTAGAGCGCCATCTGTTATCAAATTATAAAACTATTTTATAATTATATTTAATTCTGCTGTCCTATCCCTTTAATTTTTCCATCGCAGTAAGGACAGTAGAAATTATTTTATTTTAAAAAGAATATTACGCCTCTAAAATAGTTTTATAATATTGCCTGTATGTATTACAAATTTCTAATGTTGTTATATATTTATAAATAGATTATATTACATTATAAAATGACATGAAACTTAATTCAGTTTATAAAATTTTTGACGTAGAACTCAATTTATACGTTCAGATTTGTTTCGTTTAAATAAAAATTAGATTATTAAAAAACATAAGCTATAGATTATATTCAATTTTGATATTTATATTATTTTTAATAATATTTAATTAAATTGATATTTACATATTAATAAAAAATATGACAGAAATTTTAAAAAATTCTATTTTAACATACTTATTTTTTTCAAATAATATAATTAGCCCACGCCATTTTTTTAAGATAAAAGAAAAGACAATTAAAAGAATATTTCCTAGAGAGATAAAAACTTACTGAAATGATAACAAAGTAAAATTACTTTTTAGTGGGATTTAGAAAGATTTTTCCTTTTATTACTTAGCTGACGAAAGTAAATATAGAACGCTATGTATAAATTGTAACTGCTTCTAAATGTAAGTAAACCTAGGTCTATTAATACTATTTATATTAGTGTTAAAACTATATATAATATACTATTAATACTACAAATGTAGTATTAATCCATAGTGGGTATATAGAGTATTGTAAAGCGACATTTGAAAATTATCCCGCATGTGTTTCTTTTAAACGAAAAATCGAAATTTATTTTTAAGGAGAAATAACGATTATTTTCAACCTTAGGAATGAATTATGAAAGGATGATTTGTGAAGATTAATGATAAAAGGAAAAATAAAAGTGTCCCAGGATGGGAATCGAACCCACAGTGTTCCGCTTACCGGGCAGATGCCATGTCCACTAGGCTACCCTGGACATATTTTTCCGTTCGTTAATATTATATGAGGTAATTTATAATACAATATAATGCGGCTTATGTTTGTGAAATGTCGTTTTACAATCATAACTGCATTATATTGTAGTATAGAGGATTGTGTTTACTTGTATACTACATAGTCTACATGGTGTCTGTTACTCCGTGTTTTATCATTCAGTATAGCTACACGAAAATGAGACCTATTCCAAATAAATTAGTTGTGTGTGACGTTTCGGTAACAGCGTTGATACCATCATCAGACAAACGAATAAATGAATAGTAACAATGCTGTTACCGAAACGACATACACTATTAATTTATTAGGATTGGGTCTTATTTTATTGTATTTATAATTTATTATATATATATATATATAAATTGTGCTTTATTTAATATAAAAATCGATATTAATCAAACCAAATACACTCATAGAAAAAATGTAAGTAAGTTGTATCTTTTAGTATATATATCGGGATTCAGACAATAACTCTGAAAGATATTACAGTGACCTTTATTGGAGACACACGAGATAACCAAGTGTGAAAGAAATTGCCTCTGTCTCCTTAAAAGACAAACGAACGTCGACATCAAAGAATTCACACTTTATTAAGCTTTGTCCATGAGTGTATTTATATTACATAAATATCAGGATTTGCCTTTTTTATATTTAATACCAACCTTTAAATTTTATTCATTTAAATTAGTTTATTTATTTTCTTTTGTTATTTCCCAAACTATTTGACTATTTAAGTTCATCTAATAAATTATTATTTTATTCTACCCAAAAGATTCGTCACCCTCATTATTGTCTCAATATTTCTTTTTGCTCATCCCGACAGGCCATGATAATCATGAGGAGTAGAAGTTGATGACTGCTTTTACTCTAATTGCATCACATGTCTACACATGTGAAAAGCAATTCGACTTTGCACTTACAAATGTTCCAGAACCCCGTTTGGTTACTTGTACTCGCTGGTGGGGTTGGACTTTTGCCAAGAACGGGGCCATTGGAGCATTTTTTGTGTCAATATAAATAAATAGAGTCAATTATAGAGATGTTGAATCATAACGTATGTGTGTGATGGATGAATCAATGTGTATATAAAAATCGAATATATAAAAATTGAAAATTCTTTTTGTGAAAATTGAGGATGTATAAAAACAACAATAAAATTGTGGCTCAGAAGTATCATTTGTTGTAAAAGTATATTGTATAAAAGAGAAAATCCTGAAATAAATTATTGCTAAATAAAAATAACAAATTGTTTTAAAGGCCATCTTAAAACGCAATAAAAATAATGGTCTTCTTTAATAAATAATTGTCAACCCCTCCCTCATAACAATATCGTTTGGGAAATTTATGAATTAAATATTGTTAGGCCTAATAAATTAACAGAATATAAAAGAGTTGACATTAATGACCTTCTTAGAGAATTGATTAAAAATAAGACAAAAATGTTTTAATCTTTGATAAAATTAATCGAAAACTGTGCTCAGAAAGTTTGAAAAACTTTATTATCTGTAATATGTTTATATAGGGTGTGTGTGTTATATATTTGAATATATTTTTTTTCATTTTTTATTATATTTTAGCTATTATACGTATTATGTTGACACAACATAAACCCCATTTACATGATTAAAATCTCAATTTTCAGAAAAATGTTCAGTCTCTAAAACAATTAGCATCATCACAACTATTTCACCAATTCTCACGGAATAAATGAAGAGATAAAAAATACTTTTTGTTAGCTCGATAATGCACGTTTTTGATTATTAATTATAAACACAAGTTAATAAGACCAAATCCAAAAAAATAAATAGTGTGTGACGTTTCGGTAACAGCGTTGTTACCATCTTCAGACAAAAGTACTGAATGTTTTTCAGTATTGTCATTCAGTACTTTTGTCTGAAGATGGTAACAACGCTGTTACCGAAACGTCACACACTATTTATTTGGATTTGGTTTTATTACCTTGTGTTTTTTGTAATCTCTTATATTTCAAAAATAATATTGAAAATTAGCGTAAAAATAATACATTTATTTATTAACCTGAAAAAATATCAAGTTTCCAGGATAAGAAGTTTCTTTTAAAACATTTTAGTTTATTTATTTATTTCAATTCAAAACGCTATGTCCCCCTAGGGACACTTGCGCTAAATGTACATACAAATATAACAAAGAAAATATTCAACATGGAAATATACACAGAAAGTTACTTAGAAAGATTCATAAATATTATTAACATATAGAGATATTCTTCGAATTTTATTTACAGTTACATCATTAAATTTAAAATATATACATATATACACACATATATACGCATACACCTATATATTGTTTACAATCATATAATATGTCCAATATTTCCTTGAGATCGTTACATCAAAGACCATTTTTCTTAATGAAATCCAAAATATATTTACAAAGGAAATTAAACATTATATATGTGTCCTTATTTGAAATTAAATCACTAGGGCCTAAAGCTATTAAATCGTTGTTGACTCTGTAATCTTGAAAGACAGGGCATTCTAGCAAGAGATGTATTGAAGTTTGCTCCCCCAATCCATAAATCTTTAGTTTTCTGGCATGCGAAAACCCTTCTACAGATGTATATACACTCTACAATAAATCGACAATATTTATAGTTATATATATATTTATATTAAAAATAAAGAAGGTATATCCAGATTAATATCAACACCTGATTGTTTGGTTTCTTCAAGGAATCGGGCTACGATGGTGAACACTTCTTTATTTAAGAACGGAACTTTCTAACTAACTCACAACATCCAATTGTCTCTATATATATCCTAACTCGAGCTGTCTATATGCAAAGCCATATTTACATATTTACATCTGAATATTTACAATTACGTCACATCTCCCCTCTTAGAGATTAGTTCTAGTCATCTCCAAAACGTCTGGGCGGACGAACTGTTCTTCCAGAGCGAGTCCTATAAAGTGCCTCTTTAGGAGATGTTGATGAATCGGTCACATCCGTAGGAGCATCTGAAGTGTGTGTGTTGGCTTCTGGGTAATTTACATATGGCTCTTCGTCTGGCTCGAAGTGTGGAGGCCCTGGAGACCTCTGACCAGTAGGAAGCAGATGGAAGCGATTTCTTCTAACACTTCCTCTCGGTGTATCAACCACATAAGATCTAGGAGTATCTGCTTTGGAAATGATGACTCCGGGAGTTTTAAGGTCCGTCAGCCAAACTCGATCATTTACATCCAATGGAGGCAGTTCTCGTACTCCTTTTGCTCGATCAAAGTAGTATTTTTGTTTTTCCCTTTGAATAGCTTCTTGATTTTTCAAATTCTTTAGATTGGGTGGTTGGTGTTGTTTCGTTGGTGTTGGAATAGTGGTGCGAACCCGCCGTCCCATGCTAAGTTCTGCTGGGCTGAAGCCATTTGCAAGTGGTGTAGCTCGATATGCCAGCAAAGCCAGATATGGATCCTTTGACTTGCTAATTCTTTCTTTAACAATTTTTACGAAAGATTCTATGAAGCCGTTACTCTGCGGGTATCTTGGACTGGAGGTGACATGAGTAAATCCGTATTCGTGGGCAAATTCCTTGAATAGTGATCCGAACTGGGGGCCATTGTCACTCCGAACCTCCAAAGGAATACCGTGCCTTGCAAAGATGGACTTACAGTGGACTATTACGGAAGCTGATGTCATGTCCTCTAATCTTGCAATTTCTGGGTATCTTGAATAATAGTCTGCTATTAACAAGTAGTTTTGGCCCTTTAGTGTAAAGAGGTCAACTCCAACTTTCTCCCAAGGGCAATTTGGAAGCTCTGAGGGTAATAGTGGCTGATGTCGATTTGTTCTTTCCTCAATACACATAGGACATGTTCGGACCATCTCCTCAATTTCGCTTGTGATCCGGGGCCACCAGACGGATCCTTTGGCCCTTTCACGACATTTCACTATCCCAAGGTGTCCTTCATGGATTCTTTGGAGCAACCCTTTCCTGATATTCTATGGGATAACGTATCTTGACCCTTTCGGGAGAATACCATTCTCAACGGAGAAATCATCCTTTGCTGGCCAATATTGACTTTCGGACATGGAGACATTTGTTCTCTCCGGCCATCCTTCCTGGGTGTATTTAATAATGTTTTGTTTAACCTGGTCTTTGTCTTGACTTTCTTTTATTTCCTTTACTCGGACATCAGATATGGGCATAAATGAGACAACCTGTTGAACGTAGGCACATAACTCCTCCTCCAATTCCTGAGTCCCGACTTTCATCCTAGGTGATCTAGATAGCGCATCCGCCACTATCAAGTTCTTTCCTGGCGTATGTACGATCTTATACGAATATCTCATAATCCGTAGTCTCAATCTCTGAATCCTAGGTGTGAGATCATCGATGTTTTTGGAAGTAAAGATCGGTACTAGTGGTTTGTGGTCGGTTTCAAGAGTGATCACCAGGCCTTGGATGTATTGCTTGAATTTCTCACAAGCCCAGGTGATAGCCAGCGCCTCTTTTTCGATTTGAGCATAACGCTTTTCTGTTTCAGAGAGCGTTCTAGAAGCATAAGCGATGACTTGTCTCAGTCCATCTTTGGTTTGCCATATTACTGCGCCTAGCCCAAAAGATGAAGCATCGGCTGATACTGTGATAGGCAAAGAAGGATCATACAAGGCTAGCCCTTGCGCAGAAGTGAGATTTTCCTTTATTTGGTCAAATGCCCGATCTTGATCATCTCCCCAAATCCATTCTTCTTTCTTTGACAGTAACTTGTTCATTGGATGCGCTATCTCCGCTAAGTTGGGGACAAATCTAGCTGAAAAATTTACCATTCCTAAAAATTGTTTTAGTTCCTTGACAGATCTCGGTTTGGGAAACTCCAGTATAGCTCGTTTTCTTTTGGGGTCTACTTGAATCCCGTTAGGACCAATTTGATGACCTAAAAACTTAATAGTTGTAACTGCAAATTTGCATTTATCCTTGTTCAAGGTAAGTCCCGATTTAGAAACTCT